ATATAAATATATACTTAAAATAATATTTATTTAAGATTTATAATATCAATTTTTATTAAATTTATCAATTTTCTAAAGATAATTTTAATTTTTTTTTTTATTTTAATAATGGTTTTTTTTTAAATTTTGATATATTTTAAATAAATTATAATTAATATAATATATTTTTTATATTCTTATATTAATTAAGTAGATTATTCAGATAAGAAGAAGCAAATTTAAATTTTTACATATAAAAATGATATAAATTTATTTATCCTTATTATTTATTTTAATTTTGAAAATGTCGCATATTTTTGTTTATATACTTTTCTACCAATTAACCCATATATATTAATTTTGAAAAGAATAAACTTTTGATAATTTTTTTAATGGTAAAAAATATTATTTGCTTATTATTTAAAATCGTTTTTTTTTAATCTTTAAAATAATCATCAAAACTGCAGAGAATGGAGGGTGAAACTAACTTTATTTTTTCATAATATAAGATATATATATTTTTTAATTTTATTATTATTACTATATATTTATTTTTTTAATCAATCTAAAGAATAATATATTTACATTTCTAAATTTTATTCCTTTATATTTTTATTAACTATTTTAATTTTTTGATTAATTTAAAAAATTATTCATATATTAAAATTAAATATAAATAATATTAATTTTAATAAGAAAAAAGAAATGGGAAATTGCAATAATCCAACAGATTAAAAAGATATTTCAAGTTTTTAAAAAATATTAATTAGAAACATTATATAAAATATCGATATTTTTTATTTTTATACAAAGCATAATCGATTCATAATTATTATTTTCATTTTGTAATTGGAAGAGGGGGATTTGGAAAAGTATTAAAAAATTTAAATTATAGAACGATAAAACAAAAAAAGGTTTGGAAAGTAGAAAGTAAAAAATCAAAACATTTGTTTGCTTTAAAAGAAATGTCAAAAGCGAAGTAACTTTTTGTTATTGTAAATATTAAAAACTTAATTTTTTTAAAAAAAACGAAAAAAAATATAAATTAAAAGAGTTATATCTAAAAGAAGTGTATAATCTGTTATGAATGAAAAATAACTTCTCTCCTCTTTAAGACATGAGTTAAAATATTATTTTAATAAATATAAAATAAAATTAAAGTTTCATTATAAATATGAATGTAGCATTTTAAGATAAATATAATTTATATTTAGTTATGGATTTATTAACTGGGGGAGATTTAAGATTCCATATATCAAGAAAAAGAAAATTTAATGAAAATTAAACAAGTAAATTATTATTAAACACTAAAAATAACAATTAATTTTATAAAAAATGTTTTAATTTTATTTATAAATAAAAATAAAATTAATATTAATACATAAATTAATATAAAATATATATTAATAAGCTTTAACAATATTTTTTAAATAATTATCACAAAAATGAAAAATAATATATATATATATATATATATATATATATATATATATATTTATTTAAATTTTTATTTTTTTACATTTTTTTACTATTATTTAAATATAATTTTATTTCTATACTGTATTTTTTATTTTAATTTAAATTTTATTTAAAGTCAATTTATATACATTTTTTATATTTTTTTAAATAGAGTTTTTTTCAGCTTGTATAATTATTGGTTTAGAATATCTTCATTAAAACGGTATTATTCATAGAGATATAAAACCTGAAAATTTAGTTTTTGATAGTAGAGGTAATATTTATTTTTTATATAAATATATTTTAAATTTAATTATAAGGTTACCTTAGAATTACTGATTTAGGAATAGCAAGGATATGGAAACCTGATAATAGTAGTGACACATCTGGAACTCCAGGCTATATGGGTATTTTAAATAATCTAAAATAATTAAATTATTTTTTTATTTAGCTCCTGAGGTAATGTGCAGATAAAATCATGGTGTTTCAGTAGATTATTATGCATTAGGAGTTATTGTCTATGAATGTATGATTGGAAGAAGGCCTTATGTAGGAAAAACAAGATAAGAAATAAGAGATTAAATACTAGCGAAATAGGTTTAAATCAAGAAAAATGAAGTTCCTGATAAATGGTCTCTTGAAGCAGCAGATTTTGCAAACAAAGTATTAATATATATTTTAAATGAAATTTATATATATATATATATATATATATATATATATATATATATATATATATATATATATATATATATATATATATATTTTATTATATTATTATATTATTTTATTATTTTAGTTAATTCAGAGAAAGCCAGCAAACAGATTAGGTTTAAATGGACCAGAAGATGTAAAAAATCATGCTTGGTTTAAGAATTTTCATTGGGATTAATTAATAAATAAGCAATTTGAATCTCCATACATACCTAATGTATTTAAAAAAATAACCAAATTATATCATATAAAAAAAATAGGCTAACGAAGACAATTTTCATTCAAATATTGATAGAAAAGATAGTGACTAAGAATTAGACTAATAAAATGAAATAATGCTTAGAAGAAATTCAGTATAAAGTAAGACTTTTTTAAAAAAAATATTTAAAAGATATTTTTCTTTTTTTTAAAAAAAAAGGTATGTTTGATGATTATTAATACGATAGTTCAAAAATAAATTAAAATAATCCAAGTAGTATACATATGATTAATAATTCAACTAATGTTAGTAACAGATTTACTAGTGCTAAATCACAAAGAAGTTTGGTAAATTCCTAATAGAGTTAGTCTTGATAATCCTAAGCATTTACATATATATCATTATTAAAAATTAGGATATATATATTAATTTTAAATAAATAAAAAGAATATTATTTATAAATAAAAAAATATACTTCTGTATATAATATAATTTTTTATAAAATATCTTATAATTTCTAGTGTTTAATAATTTAAAATACAATCTTTTCATCTTAAACTTAATAGATTTTTAATTATCTAAAAAAAAAAATTACAATTATTACTTATTGAAACAATCAATCAATTTTTATTTATTCTTTAAATTTATAAGTTAATTAATAAAATAAGAATAGTATTTAAGTTTAAATTGAACTTATATATCAAGAAATAATAAAATTCAAACTAAATTAGCAATAATAAGTGTTCAATAATTTATATATAATATTATAATTTTCCTATATTTTATTTTTTATTTTTGTTTAATATTAAATATATTAAAATAATTTTTCACTTTTTAATTATATCTTTTTATGATTGATTAACAAACTCCTATTCAATAACTATAAAACCATATAGAGGAAATTTTAAAAAGCAAATAAGAAGACTTATTATTAAAAGAAAAAAAATTATTGATAGTAACTTTCAATATAAAAAAAAAGAAATTTAATTAGATATGTTTATCTTATAGTCGATTCAACATAAACATCTACAAAAACAGATTTAAAACCTTCGCGCATAGGAGCAACAATATTATTATTAAAGGTATGTAAAATAATATTTTCATGAATGATTATTTTAAAAAAAGGATTTTATAGTTAACTTTTTTGATAAAAATCCATTAAGTATGTTAGGAATTAGTAAAGCTTAATAAAACTAATGCTTTACAGTACAAGAGTTTACCTCAAATATAGATAAATTATTAAAATCTTTAGAAAAAATAACTGTAGATGAATAAGGATATTTTTCTCTTATGGAATGTTTGAATGTATTTAATTTTTTTATAATAAAATAATTTAAAAAAGGAAATATTTAGCAATTTTAGTGAGGTTCCTCCTTATGCACACAAAGAAGTTATTTTAATTTAATCTTCGCCTTCTACATAAGACAAAGGAGATTTATACGAAGAAATTTAAAAAGCATAAAAAATAAATTATACTTTCAGTATTATTTCATTAAATGCAAAAACACATATTTTTAATGTAATTTGTTATTTTTTTGGCTAAAAATAAACTTTTTTTAAAAAAAAGAAATTAGTTTAAGCTACATAAGGTAAATATGAAACTGTATTAAATGAAAAAGATTATCGAGAAATATTAAGCTAATATTGCGAACCACCAGAATACAAAGAAAATTAAGTAAAAAAAGAATTAATTCCTGTAGGATTTCCAAATAAATTACATTAGAAAATGTCTTATTTATGCTAATGCCATATACAATAAAGACATACTTACTATGAATGTCCTTAATGTAAAGCAAAAAATTGTGAAGTACCTTCTAAGTGTGCTGTAAAATAAAGTTGAAAAAATGTTATTATTAAAATATAAATAAAAAAAAGGTTTGTCAATTAAATTTATTGCTTCCTTTGCATATAACAAAAAATTATTAATAAAGCACTAACTTAAAAGGTTTTAAATTAATAAATACAGAAAACATAATGAATGACGAAAATAATTCTGAAAATTTAATTTGTATAGGATGTAATTATAAGATAAATGATAATAAGTTTATTTCTTTGTGCCCTTAATGTTAATCATATTTTTGTTTGTAATATTTATTATTAAAAAAAAAATAAAAAAAATAAAAAAAATATATTCCATTATAAAGAGAATGCGATGTATTAATACATAAATCAAAAATGGTTTGTCCTGGATGTGATTGAGTTTTAATTAAGCAAATATATATATTATTGTTTCAACAAATATATTTTATTTATGGAGTAATTAAAAATTACATCGAATGAAAATTACTTGTTTGGAAATTTTATATAAATTAATTAAGTTGTTTATATATATAATACTATATATTAATTAATCAATAATAAGTTTATTTTAAAAGAAAAAATATAAACAGTTGTTTATATTATTACTTTTTTGTTATTTTGAAGTTAAAATAAAAATTTTAACTAGCTTTAGATTTAACTTATTTCAATTAATAATAATAAATAATAAAAAAATATTGGTTTTCTTTTTTTATTATCGAAAAAAAAAAATATTATTTTGAGAAATATTATATATATTAATATTTTAAAATTATTATTATATTTTTAAATCTTCTTAAATATATTAAAAAAATATTAATATATTATTGAATTAACTAGTAATAGTATATTTATTTAAAAATTTATAAATAAAATTAATTTTAATATATTAAATTTAATTTTATATTTTAATTTTATTAGTCAAAATAAAAAAAATATTATAAGATTATTTAACAATTCAATAAATTAAAATTGATGAGTTTTATTTTAATGTTTTTCTTTTTTTAGTTTCACATTCCCATCTTCTAATATATTTATTATCTTAATTATTTACTTTTTTCAATAAATGGATTATACTTTTATTGTTTTAAATCAGATTATTCTTATTGATTTTAATTTTCTATTAATAATATTTTTTAAAAAAATTTAATATATATAAAATTATTAATATTACCTTAATTTTACTATGTTTATTCTTCTAAATTTTATTAAATCAATTCAATATCGTTTCTATAATATTTTGGTATTTTTTAAAAAGGATTTGGAGCTTACAAAATTTATTATTATTATGTTGCTTATTACTATTAAGCCTATTATTAGTAATGTATATAATAATTTATGCATTTATCTTCTAAATTTCTAAGTTCATTATTTTTAAGACTTTCTTCCATACCTTTATATATATTAAAAAAATGAAATAATCTGAATTTTACTTCCTATAGTATCTTCTAAGCCACCTAATCGATCAATTCTTTATTTTAATCCTATTAAATTTGGATTTTAATATTAATCATTCATAAGTCCAAGTTAATTTTAAAAGAATTTAGATTGATCACTATCGAAAATAGGGAAAGACTAAGTGTTTCCATATATGTTATTATTATTTTAAAAGGGATAATGAAATCTAAATTATTAATTTTTTTTTTTTTTTTTTTTAGAAATAATAGAATATAATTTACCTATTTTAAGTTTTTTCCTCTAAATTATTCTTTGGGTATACAAAATTTAATTATTTTTCATTCAAAAGCAATTAATTTTTTAATTGTTAAACTTAAACTTCTGAGTTGATTTTATTTGAAATTTTTTGGAAATTTATAAATGAACTATCAAATTTTTGTTTATATATATGTAGAAAAATAATACTTTGCATCTGATAATAAGGAAGTTTCTATAAAATGTTCAGATAAAGATTATAATTATGGTATATAGTTTACTCTTATGTTTTTTTAAATTATAGTTTTTTTTTATTAACTCTAATCAAACCTTAATATTTATTTATATTTTAAATAATTATAATAATAAAAGTTTTACTAATTTTAATATTGGCTAATTGATTTTTTAAACTAATCATAATTTGAAACTTGTTTTAAGTTTTAAATTTAGTTAATAACTTAGTTATCTTCATTAAAATTAAAACCTTTATTTAAAAAAAAATATATATATAATCTTAAATAATAAAACAATTAATACTTTATAACATTTTTAAATAATTTAAATTATTTTCAAAATATTATTGATATAAATAAAATATATATATTTTTTTTTAATTGTCATTAAAAAAATATTAATAATATTAAATAGAATTTTTACCAAAATATAAAAAATATTTATAAATAACCCCCTTAAAATTCAAATCAATTTAATAATAATTCAATTGATTATACAAATAAAAGATGCTCATATTTTATATCATAATTCTAAAAAAAAACTCAATGAAGATTATAAATTAATTAGCATAAATATCATCGACATAAAGTTTTTTTACTACTAAGAATATTATTAAATTAGGTATTATAAAACAAATTATAATTATATTCAATATATACAAAATTAATTTATCCTAATAATACAGATAAATTTGCAAATTAAAATATAAAAGTTAAATTTAAAATATTTTATTTTTAATTAAATATATTAAAACAACTTGAACTATAAAAAGTTTCTATATATCGACAAACCTAAGAATAAAATTAATAAAAATGATAAATTGAAATTACAAAATAAAATATTAAATCATTTTAATAAACAGCAAAAAATTTTGCCCAGCGACCTTCTTAGCCGAGATTTTTGTAAACAAAAATTTTAAAATCTGTAGTTGAAGCACTCTTATTTTTTAATTTTGTTTTGTTTGATTTACTCAATTTAGTTGATATATAGAACATTTAATTTATTTTTTTCGTAAAAATATTGGCACTTAAATTAATTATATTAATAAAAATGCGAAAATCAATACTATAATACTATAATAGTTTGACAATTTACAATCAATATATAACATATGAATATATTTTTAATATTTATTATTTTATATATTAAAGTTATAATATAAATATCAATAATCTTAGAAACAACTTTTTAATTCAATTAATCTATATATTATATTTAATAAAAAATAATGTTTTAAATCTTCCTAACATATATTAAATTTAAGAACAAAATGTAAATTTGTTGTCTACTATTCTTTCACTAATTTATTACATAAAATATTTCCAATTAATTTTTATTTTTTTATCAATAAAATATATAATATTTAATTTTTTAAAAATTTTAATAGTGAATGGATATTAAATCCAGTACTCATTAATTGATATAATTAAAATTTCTTAAATAAAATATTAAATTCATATATATTATACTTATTTGTTTTTTTTTTTTTTTTTTTTCATTTAAAATAAAATATCTTTTTAACTTATTTTTAATGCGATTAATGCAATTTATTTATTGTTTAATTTAACTTTTCATATTATAAATTTTCTTCATTATTAATTAAACTCTTAATACAGTAATCTTATTTTACTGCTTTATTAAATTCTTATATTATATTATTATTTTTTAACATGTAATTTTTTTCATATGATAAATCTTTTATAATTTCATATGTTTAAAAAGAATTTTTTAAATTGGATTGATTAAATTCATTTTATCTTGCTTTATTTAATATAATTTCTTATTCATTTATAATGCTATCTTTTATTAAGTCTAGTTTATGCATTTCTTTCTTTAATTTATATTAATTTATTTTTTCAATTAAACATTTCAATTCATAAATATAAGTAAAATCATATTATTATTAATCTTTGATTAAAAATTGTTTTTAAATACTTTCTTCATTAAATGGATCAATAAATTGATTATCTTCATCAAAAAAGTACTAATATAATTATTTTTTTTAGTTTATAAGTTATTTAAATATATATAAATGTTTTTATCTGTTTTAATCTTTCTGTTGAAGGAAATTATAAAATTAAACAATTATTTTTATATATTATTATAATTATTTTAATTAATCTTAATCATTACTAATATTTACTAATAAAAATAAAAATTTATTTATTAATTTTGTTTATTTCTTTTTATTTTTTTAATACTTTGTTTTTACATCTTTTATAATGATCTTTATGAATTTCTTTTTTGTTTTCTTTGAAAAATTATCTTTACATTTCGTTTTCGTCTTTTCTTTTTACCTTTTTAATATAAGTAAAATATTCAACTTTTTAATTATTTATTTCATTTAGTTTTTAAGAAACATTATTTATTTAATTTAAATACTAATCTAAGCTAATTTTTGCTTAATTATTTTAATACATTTTTATTGAAGTCGATTTGTAATTAGTTGTTTGATTTTCATTATTTGGTTTTGTCTTTAATTATTAATATTGTTAATTTTATGTTTTTTGTTTCATTTAACAAGCTTTGGCATAATCTATTATTGGAGGAAGTTATTTTTTATCTTCATTATTTGAATTATTAAGAATTTTTTATATATTATTTTTATTCTAACTTAAACATATTGTTTTATTTTAGATTTATGAATCATTTAATATACTTTCTTTTTTAATTTGACTATTATTAATATAATCCATACTTAAAATATTGGTTTAACATTCTTTTAAAAACTTTTTTTCTTTAACTTATACCTCTGGAAGGCTAAATTTAGGAAGTAGAATCTTCTTAGAATATATTAAGCTTGTCATATATTAAAAAAATAAATAATTAAAGAATATAATAAAATTTTTTATAAAATAAAATAAATAATTATAAAATAATGATTTATTTTTAAATTTATAATATATATATTTAAATTAAAAATATTTTATTATTTAAAAAAATAATGAATATTAATAACTCGAAATAATTACATTTTAACAAAAATTTTTAATATGATTAATATAATGATATTGATTTAATGTAAATTTTTGAAAACAAGCAAATATTTAATTAAGCAAATGTTTTTACTTAAAAAATTTAAAAGATTTATTTTAAAATTCTGATGATGAAGTTGAAAAATAATAACTTGTTTAAAAAATTTATAAAAAAAATTTTGATGATATATCTGATATGAGTCCTTTAGATAAAAAATTTTTTAATTTATGGAACGATTTTTTTATTTAGATAGAAAAAAGTTAATAAAAAGAATAAATTGCTATAAAATAAATAGATATCTTTGAATTCTTAAGAATGTTTGTAACAACTAAAACTGAAAATTTAAAGGAACTATATCCTTAGTTTTTACTTCATTTATTAACTTTATAAGATAATGGAATTATAAACAAAGAATAAGTTATTAAAACTTTAAAAAGATTAAAAAAAAGATAAATGTTAATACATAAAATTGAAAATTGATTAATAATAAGAAATTAATTAAAATATAATTAATAAATATTTTTTTTTTAAAAAAAAAATATACTATAAATAATATGTATCTTTTAATTTTTCTATTTAAATATATAATTTAATATTAATCTATTTAAACAATAGCAATTAATTAAAATTAAATAGCAGAATTTAATACCTTTATATACCATTTTAATATAATATTTTTGTTTGTTTTTATTTATCAATTTATTTAATATTTAAATTTTTGATAGTAGATTAATTTTTATTATTAAGTAAAAAGCGTTATTTTATCTATATAATCCTTTCTAAAAGGGAAAAATAAAATATATAGATATTTAAATGAGAAAATTTTATAATAATATAAATAAATACAAATATACTTTTAAAACAAAATAAAAATATTAAAAAATAAAACAAATTATGAATATAATATAATATTTAACACTATTTTTGTTAATACAAGTAACTTTTTCTGTATGTGATCTTGATTTATCTAATTAAAACTCACTTAATACATCAGAAAACAAGAAATATTAAGAATTCTTAATTATTATAGAAATTATGTTGCTGGTGGCTTTTTAGCAACCTAACCTACTGCGTCTAACATGTAAGTACTTTAGTGGGATGAAGAACTTGCTAAGGCAGCTTAATAATAAGCAAGTAATTGCGGTTATATAGTTTAAAAAGGACTAAAATATAGTTAGATTGTAGATAATTATATGGGTTAAGATTATAATGCGCCTTAGAAATTTTTTTCAATATATTCTGAAAATGAAAATGATTTTAAAGGATAATATGTAAATAGTTATGTCCCAGATGATAGTTATAATAGGTATGCAGTTATTATGTAATCGAATTTCAATAGAGTAGGATGCGGAATTTCAACTACAAGCACTCCATATGCAGATGATGGCTTTACTTAGCTACTTGTAATTTTAATATAATATTTATTTATATTTTATAAAAAATAAAATTAAGATATGCAATTTTTAAGGTGTTTTACCTGATGGAAATAAAGATAGTAATTTAGCTGCTAATTTAGGTTAATAAGTTTATTAAATCGGTTAACCATGTGCTAGATGTAATCCTTATTAATGTAGCACTATTTATACGAGTTTATGTGGAGAAGTGTTAGTAAATAAACTAAAACATATAAATAAATATTATTTATATTTAATTTTTTATTTTATTTTTAAAAATAATTAGTTAATTGATGGAAAGGTTGATACTGAATCAAAATTTGAAGATCCCGCGTAATCTTTTTGTTTTTTTATTTTTTATAATTTATTTATTATTTTATAGAAATATACCATAACCGTAAAAATAAAAAGCAAATTGTATTTAAATAATTATTTTATTTAATAATTTAGAATATTGCCAAAACCTTTAGTTTAATCAACAAGAGAAACAAGTTTTCCTGATTTACTAATTGAAACAGATTCTATAAGGTAATAAATTAATATTCTTATATGTTAAAAAAATATCCAATAATAATTTAAAAAAGATAAGTTACAAATTCATGGATCTAATCTACAAAAACTAAACTTATTTTTTCACATAATTTAGTTGAAAATTTTGATACGATAAATACAATTTTAGATAATGTGTATATATTTATAATTTAATTTTTTTTTAAATATTTATTTATTTACATAAATATTTATTTTAAATAATATAAGAAAATAAACTGATGTTCCTTAATTTGTTAAGTCATCAGTAAAAGAAGTACCAAACTAATCTCCTGGTAAAGAAACTGTGATTTTCCCCTTAATTAACATATAATCAGGGTTATTTTTTAAAAAAAATATATATTTTTAAATATTTTATTATATAATTTTTTAAAATAGAAATGCCAGAAATGTTTATTAAACTTATAGATTTACTACATAAATTATTTAAGTATCTAAATTTGAACCTAATATGTAAAGAAAAATATTCAATTAATTTATATAAAAATTATATTCAAAAAGATAAAAAGAGACTCCTAGAGAAGTTTATGCTGAATTTACATAAGATGCAGCCTTATAATTTAAAGATCCTTAAACATTAGCTGTAATGCAAGTTGTTTATGCAGATAGAAACAGGTATTTTAAAAATATATAAATTATTTATTTTTTAATTGTTTAATTATAAATGTTTTTAAAATTAGTGTTTCAATAACATCAAGTTACCAAAGATTTTATGGGCCTTATTTAGATCCTATTGATATAATAAAATCCTCTAATAATAAATAAATGACAAGTGCAATTGTAGAAGAAGCTATACCTACTTAAAATTCTAATGGAATAAAAACTATTTTATCAATTATATTATTATATATCATCAATATTATAGTTATCTGAGAAGATTAAAATAAAAAAAATATATATATTTTAAAAGAATGAATGTTAATGTTTTATTACAAAATTTTATAATAAAATTATTATTTAAAATAATGTATTTATTATATCAATTTTAATCATAAACTACTATTTAATTATTACTATTCTGTTTTTAATTTATTATATTTTTATTCTAATTTTATTAATTATTATCTTTTTTAAAAATTAAGCTTTTCTTTTATAAATCTAACATACTTTAAAATTTCATAATTATATATTCAAATTTCATTATCAAAATCTAAATAAATAGATTATTTGAGGTTAGTTATCTATTAACTCTATATTTAACTATATATTATAAATTTTTGTTAATTATTATTTAAATTAAAAATATAAAAATAGTTTACATCTTAAATTATAAATATAAATATCATTAATTATTAACTTTTTAAAGCATATTTTCTAATTACATTTGTTTTATTTATTTTTAAAAGACAATTGTTTTTTTAAGCATTATATATCTATTTTTTTGAATTGCTTTTTAAATATTTTTTTTTTTTTAAATTCCTATAAAAATTCATTTACTTGCTAATAATTATATTAGTTTTATAATGCAAAACATTATTTTAATATAAGGTTTTTTTCATCATTATATAAGGAATATTTAATTATTAAGCTATGTGAAGCAAATTGAAGAAAAAAATTATATTTTTTAAGTTTTTATGTTTAATAAAGTTATTTAATTAATCAGTTTCTAATTTTAATAGAGTTTTTTTCAAATATATTAAAAATATATTATATTAATTTAATATATAATTTTTTTCTATTTAATTTTAATTTAATTAAGTTGTTTGAATATGTATATTATTTTTATATATTATAAAACTTATTTTTATAATTATTTTTTTTAAATATCTTTTTTATTTTTATTTTAGATATTTTAATATAAAAATATTTTTATATAAATATCTCAAAATATATTAATATAAAAACACATTTTTTTCGTATAATAAAAGCACTTGTTCAACATATTATTAAGCTTACCTTAATAAAAATATATATAAATTTTTTACATTATTTAGATTTTATAATTTATATTCTTACCTTATCAATTCTTTTAGACAGGTAGAATATATTAATTATAATTAATTATATAATTGGTCTTTATTAAGTTAAGAATCATCTCATGTTTTCAAAAGAATTTCTTCTAACTATATTTCTAGACTAGGTCAATTTTATTTATTGCATTTTCAAAATATGATAATTTTATATTTATTTATAACATATTATTAATAATTAATTAAATTTCTTTTTAATAAGTATTTTTTTAATTAGATTATTAGATATTATATAAATTTTATTTCTAATTTAAGACTTTAAGCTTTTATTGAATTTAATTTCTATTTAAGAAATAAAAAAGAATTAATATTATAAATAATTTGTTTTAGAAACATAAAAACTTGATTAGTTTTATTATTATAATACCAATTTTTCTGGTATAATTTAATTAAACTTTTTTTTAAAAAAAATTAAAATTTGGAAAAAAATGAATTTATAAAGTAATGCTTTTTAAATAAAAGTTATTATTATTAATTTAATTTTTTTAAATATTATAAATATATAATGAGATAAAAAGTTCATATTCAATAATTTTTTAGCTTTCCTAATAATTAATTGGAATTTAATTTAATTTTTAAACGTTATATTGATTTACTTTTTATAGATTTTTATATTTTCTATAGTTTTTTTATAAAAACTCAATAAAAAAAAAATAAGTTTAAAAAAAAAGATAATCATTTTATTTAAGTCATTGAATTATTAAAAAAAATAATAAAGCAAAATTTTATAATTAAAATATATATATAAAAAAAATGATTTTTTAATATTATATTGCTTTTCATAATTTATTGTGTTATGTATTATTTTGTAAATATATTTTTAAGATTAATTTTTATTTTATATTAGAATAAAGAGATTATCAATATTTTTTTTATTATTTATAAATATTTGTTCTATATATTGTTTTTACATAATCTTAAAATTTAAATGCGATAACTAAATTACTTTCTTTTATCCATTAGTAAAAAAATGCTTTTTCAAATAAATAGAATCAGCTTTCTCTAAATTATTTTATATTTATTTTATTATTTTAAGATAAATATTTATAAAAAGTTTTTTTTCTTGAATTTAAAAATATCTGTTTTGTAAAATATTATTTAAATTTTTAATTGAAAATATATTAATATTTTATAAATATAAATTATATAATTATGAGTATATAAATTTGATATATAAAAAATATTTTATTTTTGATAAAATAAAATATATTAATATAAAAAAATATAATATAATATAAATTAATATAATATAAAATAAAATAAAATTAAATAATATCAAATAAAATAAAATTATTTAATTAATTAAAGATAAAAATATAAGAAATCCTTTAAAAATATAAATTTTAACTTAAATTTATATTATTATTATAATTAAGATTTATTTTATAGATTTTTAAAGATAAAAATTAACATTAAGTTTTAATTAATCTAATTAAGAAACATGTAAATCATTACAAAATAATTAATATTTTATATAAAATATTATACCTATTTTAATATAATAAATAATATTCCATTTTAAATTAATTTCAATTAAAATAATTTATATTTTAATTATATATTTATTATACAATTAATTAATTATTTTTTATTAATTATAAGAACATAATAACATATATATATATATATATATATATATTTATTGCTACTTATTTAAATATTAAATAATACTTATTCATTTACTCTTCATTTGATTTATTAACAGCTTTTTGTATATTCTTTTTTTTTTTTATTTGTTTATTACATTAATTTTTTGTGTTAATTTTTTAAGATATCCTTTTAAAATTTTTAAGTTCCAAAATCATCATCTTAAGTGAACATGGATTATGTATTTTCATCATTGGAATTATAAGATTCTAATCTATATCTTAAGTTTTATTCATTACATAAATAAATAGGATTTTATTCAAGTTTTTATCTATGATTTTAAAAATTCAAAGTTTATTAAGATTAACTTTCTTCTATAATTTCATCAAAATTATCATAAATATTATCATATTTATATTATTTAATTGATTTTTCACCAAATATAAAATGTAATTTTTCTTAACTTTAACTTGGAAGTTCACATAAACTCTATATTTATGGATTTTCTTTTATTTTTAATTATTTTTAATGCAAATCTAATTTTTTCATTTGCCCAAAACAGTTTTTATTATTTGTTTTGTCCTCAATTGAAAAATATTCTTCTTCTTCGTCATTCATTTATGAAATTTTACTTTTAAATTTGATAACTTAGTTTATTTCTTCATTTTATATTTATTAAAATAAATTATTATTTGAAATATTACGATTTGGATTTTAATCAGAGCCAAATGAACTTAGAATATTTGTTTAAATATGAGTAGAGTCGCTCATTTTTTACTTATTACTATTTTGAGTATAATTTTTATATTAATTATATAATAGTAAATATATTGTATATTTTTTTAAAAAAATTATATATCACATAATAAAAATAAATTAAATATATTTGATTTTACCATAATTATAATATATTTATTTTCTATTTAGTTATTATAAAAAACTTAATTTAAAAAAGAAAAGACATTATCTATTATCTATTTTATTTCGCACTTTTTATGACTTTTTTTTTTAAAAAATAAATAAATAAAATAAATAACAGAAATAATGATATTTAAAAGTATAAGATTTATATAAAATTTTATTTAAATAGCAAACTATTAATTAATACTTACCTGGTAAGAAAAAAAAATGTTATGTAATTTGTAAAAAAAAAAAAAAATCTATATTATATTAGTTTTAGAATCAAAAATATTATGCCCACGTATTTTTAAATAAGTATGCATATTCTAGTCTATAATTATATTTATCACTAAAATCATATCATAAAATTTTTATTAAAATAATTAACAACTTTTATTTATTATTAAAATAGAGTAAATAATATCAAATAATCATTTTATTTATAAAAAATTAATTTAATTTTCTTTTTTTTTAAAATTAATTAATTTTAAACAATAAAATTTGGAGCAAAAATTATTAGTTAGCTTGCTTTTAAATAATAGAAAAAACCTGTTTGATTTTATAATAAACGCAAGATTATAAATTTAATTATTTCTAATTATTATTAATTTAACATTATTTAATAATAATGTTATTATTATTAAATAATATTTTTCGATTTTATTTAGTTTTTTAAAGATAATCTTAAAATTATATAGATTAAATGTGAGTTTTTCTATTGCATTTCTAAAATAATTATCATTATTAAATTTTTAAAAATCATCAGTGGTTTTATTCTTTTGAAATTAATTTTAATGTATATTTATAAATACATAATATGTATATTAAATATATATATTATTATTTATTTTTAAAATATGAATAGTTTTTTAACTTATAAGATCTTTTAAATATCATATATATATTTTATGTAAAAAAAAATTTTAGCTATTGTATGAAAAGATAATAAAATTTTTTTTATTGAGAAAATTGGTTGTTTGCATTATAATTTTTTATTGATTTTTTCTAATAATTTGCTATATATATATATTTGAGAGTATATAATATATGAAAAATTTTATTTTTATGTTTAATTAATTTTTTTATACAATTATATTAGAAAGATTTTAAATAATTTTAAAAAATGTTTCATTTGATTTTTATTTACTAATTTATTAAAATAAATTATTTATATAATATATAATTTTAATACAAAAATATTTTTTTTTTAACAAATAAATTATATTAAATTCAATTATATTTTATTTTATTTTATATTAAATATATTTTTTAAAATTTTTTTATTTGGATATTTATATTATGAAAAAAGTATTTAATTATATATTTTTTTAAAAAATAATTTACTTATTGTTTTATAATTTTTATTTTTTTGTTTTCATATTCTCCTTTTTATAATTTATTATTATTTATCTGAATATATTTTCTTTATTAAGTTATTTATATAAAATAAATAGTAATATTTTATTATAGATCTAAAATAAAATTTTAAAAAAATAAAAAAATCATTATT